GAGCAATGTCCGGAGAATACGGCGGGTGCGGTAAGACATCCCATTTGAGCGTTTCCAAATATTTTTTTACGACTTTTGCGACTGAGGCCGAGCGTTATCATGAAGAAAAATAACTTTATCGTGTCTTTGCTCGTATTCCAGCCGTTCTTCTCGCAATGCACGGCTCAAACGAATCAATTGTACCCGATCGCCCGTAATGGAATCGTCAGGTTTCAGCAGCTCATAGTAAACAACACTCTTTTGGTCCCACCAGATACAGAGCATGATTTTCGAACCATGAATGTTCGGCTTTGGTGTTGATGTTGAGGTCAATATATATATATATATATAAGACTTAGACATAGTTACTTAGATATAGTTACTTAGATATAGAAATAATATATGAATATCATGAATATCACATGTAATATTATTTATAATGATACATGTAATGTACAGCTTTATGTCAGCAAGTTTAAATATATTTTTATATCAATAATATTGTATATTACTGCAGTATAATATAAATGTTTTTTTTTTAGATCTCTGGATGTATATACAAAATGGATGCAATAATGATAAAAATTGACACTAATTTCTATCTTAAAATGGTCGTATTATCTGCCCTGAAGCCTCTTTTTATTGAGGTTGTTAGAGTACTTCCGGTGAAATGAAATATTAAAGAGTTTTCAGAGTCGCTGATTTCGAATTTGGACCGAATTTGATTAACGAATAATAAAAAATACATGAAAAGCATGTATGTAATATTCAATTTTGAACTAATCTTGAGCAATTTGCAGAATTGTGTTCGGAGAAATGTTATTAGAGCTATTTATGTTATTCTATTCATGTTGTGTATTACATGTAAAACAAGGATAAAAAGACATTAAAAACGCTAGTAGCATCTCTTCATTGCCTTAACGGCTGAAAGAATAAATTCAACGTATCTATAATAGGTATTTTATACATATTAATCGTATAATATTTGTTAAATTGCTGAAAGTCATATTTATGTTATGTATTTTGAGGTACACGTGTATTAGATTACATTTTTAAGTAATTGTTATGATTATATGTATAATACAACGAAGAAATATATCTTTGTTCTTCTAAAATACTCTCAAAATTATGTGACTTACATATAGTCTCCGTAACTATTAAATAAATATATTATATTATTCTTTTTATTAGGTGTAGCACGCGTAGACGAAATTTAATACTGACGGTTGGCACTCCATTTTTCCTATAGTTTTACTACTTTCTATAGATTTTGATCAGAGTTCTTGTCTTTAAGTATTTTTAAACAATTTTTCAATCAGAGCGCTTGGCACCCCATTACAAGAATGAAGTACCACGTGACAGCCAGTTCTCATCGATTTTTTGCCATTTTTCGATATATAGTTCTCCAATAGTTCCAACGCTAGGTTTTATTCAAAATTTTTGCTTTTAAGTATTTTTAAACAATTTCCCAATTAAAGCGCTAGCTGACACCGCACTACAAGAGTAAAATACTACGTAAGCCAGTTCTTAGTCAACTTTTTACTATTTTTCTATAGTTCTGTAATAATTCAAAAGCTTCCTATAGGTTTTTATCACAGTTCCTATTTTTAAAATAGGAACTATGCGGGAACTATCAAGGATTACTATAAAGCGATAGGAACTGTCCGCATCACATACTTATCAAAAATGTGCTGCCAGTAGTCAGATTAAAAAATTATTTAATAATATTTAAAAGCAAAATCTTTGAGTAAGACCAAAGGCGTTGGAACTATTGCAGAACTATAAGAAAATAGCAAAAAATCAACAGCAACTGGCTATTACGTGATACTTTATTCTTGTAGTCGAGCGCTCACATTAAAAATTGTTTAAAAATAGAGACCGAAACTTTGATCATAACTTATAGAAAGCATTAGAATTATTGTAGAACTACAAAGGCAAATCAATAAGTACCCGTGTTAGTAATGAAGACGCAAGCTTTTCATAAAAATTTTTTTTATTTTTCAACATAATCCCCTTTTAGGAGGATACACTTTTCTCAACGCTTCTGCCATTTTTTTAACTCCTCAGAAAAATACGATTTGTCGAACTTTGCAAAATAGGCTCTGTTTCGGCGATGACCTCCTCATTCGACGTGAATTTCTTTCTACTGAGCCATTTTTTCAAGTTTGGAAACAAGAAGAAGTCACAGGGAGCTAAATCCGGAGAGTACGGTGGATGCGGCAGCAATTTGTAGCGCAATTCGACCAATTTGGCTGTAGCGACTGCGGAGGAGTGAGCCGGTGCAATGTGAGTAATCGCGGCATCCATCAGGCCGACAGCTTTTCCATTCCCAAGTTATCATGCAAAATATTGAATGCCGTTCCGTATGCCGACACGCCTACGGCCTCTGCTATTTCATGCACTTTCGTTCGACAATCAGCGAGAATCATATCGTGGATTTTTTCAACGATTTCCTCAGTAACCACGTCTGCCGGGCGGCCTGGGCGCTCCTCATCAAAAACAGACGAACGACCACGTTTAAATTCGTTGAACCAATATCTGACGGTTGTCATAGATGGTGAAGAGTTCCCATAGACAGCATCCAACTTCATTTTTATTTCTTCGTACGTTTTTCCATCCAAAAATAAGAAACGAATCACGGATTGATTATTGCTCTTTTTCCATTGTATCGAAAAACATCAAATACATTCACTACGAATTGCTATCAAATCAAGACTTGCATGAATCACTCTGAAATTTTATATGGCATCGTTTGAAAAATGGTAGTACATGATAATGCTAACTTGCATCAGCAACGTTGCCTGTCTTGAAACACGGGTACTTATTAATTTGCCCTCGTATAGAAAAATAGCAAAAAGTCCTCATTAAAAAAAATTTTTTGTTAACTAAATCAGCAGAACTATTATTAAAGCCTAACTGGAACTGTAGAATTATTATGTTATTAAACGGAACTGTGTATAAAATATCGGATTTTTCAAAATTGTGTCAATTTCACACCGGCTAAATAGATCAACTATCTGAGGGAAAGTAATGATGTAAGCAAATAAAAAATTTCTAATTTAAGAATTTTTTTTCTAGAATAATAGTCTTTCCAATTTATAAATAACTTTGTAATGATTAAAGTGCATGTATTTCATAAATATGTTTATATGAAAGATGCAATGGAAAACCATTGTTTATATATTTCAAAAAATATACCTGCGATATGACTGTTAGAAATTTATAATTGACATTAATCCAACATTTTGAAGTTAAGATCACGTGTTCACTAAAGGATTCGTAAATAAAGTCAAAATAATAATGATAAAATTTAATTTTTTTACATTTTTTGTTAAAATGAAAGGTTAATAGAACGTATTATATGACCAGCATATAAAATAAAATTAAAAATGTGTTTCTAGTTCAAAATTGCAATAGCAAATAATCAATTAATAGAAAGGACAAAACACGAGCGAGAGAATATAGAAAGTCAGGCTCATTACATCAAATTTATGACTCGATGTCAACTAATTTGACATAATTTAATTGCCTACATATTTGTTATCATTTTATAAATTATTTTATGTTTTCTTGTATCTAACATTGTTTTTCCACAATTTGATCTTGTCAATTTTAAATTGCTCGTTAGGCATACTTGATATTCCGGACAATATAGTTGGAGTTTAAATAGTTTTTTCTTAACAAGTTGTAAAAATTCAGTCATATATTGAAAAATATTACTTTGTGAATTTTAACATTATTCCAAAGCTACATGATATATTTGGCGTCAAGGTGAGTTGCTCTTTGTTCACGCAGAAGAATTTAAGATTTTCGTAATGTTTTCGAATTAGAATCGACTTCAGTTTTCTTCAGGCAATCTGTAAATGACTCAATCTTAGCTTTGCTAAACTAATATTGATTAGAATATATATCCTGCATATCAAATAGAATAAAATAAATTTTCTGATTTAACAATTTGCGCACCTCTTCTCCTGACTCTTATTAGTTTTGAATGTTTTTGTTATTATTATTTTAAACATCAAGAGTCCCTTCTAAGCATACATATTCCTTTTTAAACTAATTAATGATATAAAATTAATGAAAACAAATAATACCTCGAATACCGGGATAATACTGTTGCAACTCAGCTTCCATAAGAAACTCGTAAAGACCAGGTCCATTGCGAGACATTCCTCCTTGTATATCTAGAAGTAAAATGAATGTAAATATAATAAATGTAAATAATAAAAAACAATAAGAATCACGGACCGTATATTTGAAAACTCAACAATAAAAAATATGAAGTACTGGACATACATAACAGTCAAACCTAGATCTTTTATTGCTCAAATAATTCAAATCACAATATAATTGCTCAAATTCTAAATCACTATATGTACAGAGTGTCCCACATAACTGTGATCACGATTTTTCCGGCACTTCCGATGACCTGATAAAAATTATTTTGAATAAAAGTTAATCAATTTTCAATCAGTTACAAATTGCAATAAAAATTTGCAAAATATTTTTTTTTAGGAAAAAGGTTAAAATGGCCCTAATTTTTTTAAATAGTACAGCTTATTTTTTACTTCATAATATTGCAACTAATCAAGACGAGTTAAATGACTTGCTATACTATGACCTTGAGATGACCTTAAAGACATGTGAGATCAATGAACGGAAATGTTTTCGTGAATTATTTTATTTGTATTAAATTTTATATGGACATATTCTACAACAGAAAAAGATCTTTGTATTAGCAGCATATCAACTTTCTCATTATAGGAATACATTTTCGATAAATTGAGACTGAACTACGATTTGCTCTAATGACAAACTAAAATTGAACACAAAAACTATGTTACTATCGTAACAGTGATCGCCACGCTACAAATACTACAAGTTATGTTGACTTTTTTTCCATACATACTACATAAATACACGTGTGTAATAAATTGTGAACTACATTCGGGAATATCATGAATTCAGAAATGACTACGTCGATTTCTCAATTTGTCTATAGGTGCATTTTTCCTATTGAACAATGTAATAAAAAATATGTAAAGTTTAATATAAAATAATATTTCATTGAATGAAAATGTTTCCATTCATTGATTGCATATGTCTGACTTTAAGGTCATAGTATAGCAGATCACTGAACTCGTGTTAACAATAGTTATAATATTATGAAATAAAAAATATGTAATGCCATTTAAAAAAATTAAGATTACTTTGACTTTTTTCATAAAAAATAATATTTTGCAAATTTTTAATATTGCAATTTCTAACCAATTAAAACCTGATTAACTTTTATTTAAAATAATTTTTGTCAGATCGGAAGTGCCAGAAAAATCGTGATCACAGTTACGCAGGAGACCCTGTATACTATATTTGTAATCACTCGAACTGCGCGCCGAATTTCTCGGATTTAAACGCAATTAATATTGTGCCAATATCATGAATTAAATTGACAAGCAATTTTAATAATTTGATCTCATTTGATTTCAATCAGGCATCAAGTTAAATTAATTTTTTATTTTGTAATTAAACAGATTGTAAAAATACATTTACAATATGTATGTAAAGCTATAGGAACGATAATGTGACAATACATTTTGCAATTATACATAATTGTACATAATGTATAATTATACATTCAAATATTAAATAAATATAATACATAATCATTTATTACATTAACTTTGAGTATTTACATAGTATTATGTAAATTTGATATTCAAATTGTATAATAATACAATTGCAAAAAGCATTGTTACATTATTGTTCCGATAGCTTTACATACATATGTAATTCTATTTCTACAATCTGCTTAATTACAAATTAAGAAATTAAAGTTACTTGCATATTGCAAATTTATTAACGCATAGAAGTTTACAATATTATAATAGGTCTCAACATTTTTTTTTTATTTTTTAGACTTATAAACGCAATCAATACTGTAATAATAATATCATGAATTAAATTGACAAGCTTCAATGTGATGCCTGGTATGATGCCTAATATGATCTGATCGAGCATCAAATTATTAAAAATTGCTTATCAATTTAATTTGTGATATTATTACAATAGTTTAATTACGTTTATAAGCCCAAAAAACTAATTCGACGCGCAGTTCGAATGACTACAAATATGATACATATATGTATATGCAATATACGCATGTACATATATAGTATGTATGAATAATACAATTATTTAAGTATTAAATTATTTAAGTATTAAAGATCCAGCTTCGATCGTTATAGGCTTTAAATTCTTACTTATTGCGTATGCACACATACGGTCTTAATAAATCATTTGTTATTGTTTAATAATTTGATTCGGCGCGCAGTTCGAATGACTATAAAAATAGTATATATGCATGTATATACTATTTTATATATAATATATATAATATATATATAGATATTAATTCAGATTGAATTATTTGAGCATTAAAAGATCTAGCTTTGACCGTTATAGTCAGTACTTCCTAATGTTAAGTACAATAGATGTATTTTTATGATTTATCCTACAAATGTGCACATTCACAACGTGAGTACTTAACATACATTTATACAAAGTGGAATAGTAAAGAAAATTTAAATGATACGCAGTCTAATTTTTGAAATTGAGTAAGGTATGAAACTATTATTTTCCAATATTAATCTCCACTACTACTTAGCCAAGAACTTTGCCTTGACAATGGCGACACAGAATCACGGCGGTCTGGCGAAACCGATAGCCATGCGCTTAAGCGCGAGCCCATGTCCATGTGCTCGCCTGCGGCGCACCGAGAGTGAACGAGACAACGAGCTTCTTTTCACACTAATTGCTTGTTTCAAGCGACCGAAAATGCTTTCTCGACAATCTCGACCGCTAGGCATCAATAAGCTAGGCGGGGGCATTCTAAATAATATGTAAGTTTTAAATAAATTTTAATAAATTGAAGTAATAGTGTATCCCACTCATTAATCCATAATAGTATAAATTATGTTAAACGCAAAGAGATATACGAGATATTTAATTGTTTATTGCGATTTTTCATACGCGTTGTACAATATACCCCTCCTTCACTTGAGTAGCAAGAATAGTTCAATAGAAATAAAATTTTACCGGATAAAAATTATAAAGCAGCATTTCTTTTCACGAAATTTTTTTTTCTACTGAATTAATAGATCGATTTTAATGTTCCATCTCGTTTTGTAGGCATTTCGAATACCTACATTTTTTATACCGAACTTTTTTCTAAACAATCAATACCTTTCGTTTTAAACGAAAAACATTCTTTTTACAATTATTCAATTTTTTTTCGCATATTTTTTTCACACGTCTCAAGTCTCAAACATATTTCTTTTTTGATGGCCTTTCGAAACTTTCGTGAAAAGAAATGCTAGTTTATAATTTTTTCCCGATAAAATTGTATTTTTACTTCTACTGAACTATTCTTACTACTTGAATTTATAAAAAAAGAATATATTATATAACGCGCATGAAAAATCGTAAACAATTAAATATCTCGTAAACTGTTTTGCGTTTTAATATAATTCATATTATTCTGGATTAATGGGTAGGGTATATTATTATTACAATGTATTAAAACTTGTGTTATTTAGAATGCCTCCCGCCTCTTATTGATGCCTAGAACAGTCGAGCGACCGAGATTGCCGAGAAAGCATTTTCGATCGTTTGAAACAGCGACTAATGTGAGAAGAACCTCGCTGTCTCGTTCACTCTCGGCGCGCCGCAGACGAACACACGAACATGGGCTCGTGCTTGAATGTGTGATATATACAGCGTCGCACCACGATAAATGGCCGAACTTATAGGCGTGAAAAAGTGACGTTTTGACGACGAAATTTATGTGCATGCCATTTTGTTATTATTTGCTTAATTGTGAAAATGTGATTTGTCTCGTACTTATCAAAGTCGTAATTATTGATGAAAACTAAAATTATCTTGGAATTTTATATGTAAAAGCGTATATTTTACTGGTTTCAATAGCTGTCAGACCATGTATTTCTGCTCAAATATAGACTTATTTTACGTGCCTTTTACGACCATTTATTGACTGTCAAAGGAGGAAAAGACAGTTTTCATCGATTTTTACAAGTGTTTTAAAACGATCTCGTCATTTCGCTTCAAATTATCTTTATTTAAAAATAGCATGCAACATAAATTAACGTGTCATTCCTCGCTTCTGACGTCCAACATAGTCGCCGCGACTAATCAGGAGCCTTAAATATTAAATAGAACCATATGAGAATACAACCAATAGGAAATAAATGCTTTTAACAGTCTAGCTGGATCTTAAGTAATCATATAATTAAAGTAATCAAGTAATCATATAATTCTGTGCAAATTTGTATACTATGTACGTAATCCTTTCAACTACGCGCCGAAATGATTTTTCGGATTTAAAACGCAAACTCTAGTGAAATACCGCAGTAATATCACGAATTAAATTGACTAACAATTCGATGCTGTTATGCATCTTAGAATTATCTTAATAATGCTGAATGACACATTAAAATTTATGAATAATTAACTCTTATTGCAAAAAATATTACTTCGATTGGGAATCGAATCCGGATCTCTAGCATTCCGTGAGAGCGTCCTAATCCTTTAAATTACCGAGGTCTTAGTAATATTCAATATAATATATAGGACCGTACAGATAATAACACAAATTATAGCAATCAAAATCTTAAAGAGTCTAGCTAGATCTTAAATGCTTCTATGATTCTGTGGGAATTTATATACTACTGTAATCAAAAATCCGAAACTTATCCGAACTTCATTTATTTTGAATTGCGGAAAAACTGTAAATCAAATCCATTTGCTTTGTTAAGTTGGTATACATATCTTTCACATTTGGTTAAAAAATCATAAATTTTCTTCAAGCCATTTGAGAATGAGTTGTTTATGTCAGTGAAGATTTTGTGCGCAGCGATTTTTATCGAGTAAGAATTTGTTTAAAATTTTGCGTTATGAACGAAATTTCGTTCACAAACTCATTCAAAATGTTGCAAAAGGCTTATGGCGATGATCAAATTCTTGCTCAATAAAAATCGCTGCGCACAAAAATCTTCACTGACATAAATAACTGTCATTCTCAACGGCTTAAAGGAACGTCATAATTTTTTTAAACGTGAAGGACATGTGTACCAATCAATAATTGCCCGTTTCAAAGGATTACAT